AAATTGTAATTAATTTGATTTTATTTTTTTGTTTTATTATTATTATTATTATTATTATTATTATTATTATTATTATTATTATTATTTAATACCGACTCATGAATGCTGGGTCAGTATTATTATTTAATACCGACTCAGAAAAGTCTGCTGTCGCTGAAACGCGAACTGAGAAAGCAGAACTTTTCGGAAAGGTATTTTGACCAGACGCTGTGGCGCTTCGTTTGCCAGTGTGCACCAAACTGGACCGAGGTTGCAAAAAGGTTAACGTTTGGATTGCAGTAGGAGTCTTGAACATCGGACCTCCTGAATCAGATTTAGGCAGATTATTCGCCGTTGTTTGTTTCTGGGGTACGTTGTGGCGGCCTGTTCAATGAGAAACGGGTAAGAAAAGTCAGGATTTCTTGTTTTTTCTTGTCGGGTTGTATTTGTGATGCAGCTAGGTAGGTACTTTTTGGATGTGCGTATGAACCTGTCCTATGAGTGTAGTCAGATACCTCAGTAGAACAGGGCCTAGACAGAACTTTTGAAGTGAAGAAACGACTACTGTAGGTACTAATAGTAGAACAGTGTAGGAAGTAAGTCCTTTCTGACGTCACATCGTGGGCGTAGCGTGTGTAGGCATATCACTCGCGCGTGTACGTACTTGGGAATGTCGAGGTGCTTCGTCGCTCACAATTTTTTCTGTCGGCATTTTCTAAGTACCAGTTTGCGATTGATGAAGAAAATCTTCTTTCTTTCTATCACTGTGTTCATGTTTGAGTGAACAGTCATGCTGCATGCATAGATGGAATGCTGCACCAATTCACTTACCTCATGAATGCAAATGCAAAAATTGTAACAGCATCGTCACAAGGCAGAAAAAAAAGGGAAAAAAGAAAGACGTGAAAAGACGGAAAAAAACACTGAAAAGGGGAAAAACGAACTTTTGAAAGCCTCAGCTCAACTGTGTTGCTCTGCTGTCATTCTTGCCTTCTCTATATAGTAAATCTGCTGAGGGAGGGAGGCGGACTCTCACTGGGGCTTTTTTTGACTCAGCCCTGGACGGAATTGCGGTCAGATACCTTCCTGAGGGGCTGTATTTGCAGCCAGATTCATCAGGGAAAGTGCTAGTGTGACTACGCTGTGATTATGATGATGCTCATGCGGCCTACGTCGTACGTACTTGCGGGCTTTCGTTTTTTTAACAACACATGATGTGCGTTCTCTCAATTTTTCAACCATTTGACGTCCTACAGGGTAAATTCTGTAGAATACTGTGATGCGTCAGATGTGGCCAATTCTGTATCTACGACATACGGACGTCCAGGTGAGGAGCAGGAAAGTACCAACAGAGCCCCTGAATTTTCAGGGTGTTTTCATGGTTTTTATAACAAAACTCCCAGAACTTTCAAACCAAACTTGTAAAAAAAAAAAAAAGTAAAAAAAAGTGTCACCAATCCATAAAGTGGACAACACAAACCAACGGCCAAAAAGAAATAAAATTGAAAAATAAAAAATTCCCAATCGAGGCTGAAACGCGTACTACTTGAGGCGCACCTGTACCGTGCGCCGTGCGGTGGGCATTGTAGCAGAGCGCTGTGCCCCGGATGGCTGATGCGAGCACAAGGGGAGTTGCGCTGGGGTTTAGCTTGACTACGCCTTGTGCACGTGCAACCCCCCAGTCCTCTATTTTTATTTATTTATATTATTATTGTTATTATCGTTATTATTATTATTATTATTATTATTATTATTATTATTGTGTGTGTGTGTGTGTGTGTGTGTGTGTGAGAGAGAGAGAGAGAGAGAGAGAGAGAGAGAGAGAGAGAGAGAGAGAGAGAGATCCATTTGACTTCAGCTCGCACCGACGATGGAGGGTTTTGGCAGTGTGTGCGGACGTCAAATGCATGCTGCCCCCACTGTGTGTATGAATCCAGGGTCTAGTCACACTACCAGTAGCCCTTGCCTCAATTTATCTGACTGCAATTACGGGTAGAACTCTATGAATCTGACTGCAATCACGTCCAGTGCTTGGTAGAAAAAAGTCAGTGTGAACATGCCCTCACACTAGGACTTTTTCTTCTAAGCTCTGGATGTGATTGTGGTCAGATTCGTCATCCAGGCTTGGCTGTAATTGCACTCAGATACATTTCGCGAAGTGCTAGTGTGGGGGCTCAGAAAGGCATGTGAGCAACTCTGCGCCATTTCTTTTTTTTTTTTTTTTGNTTTTTTTTTTTTTTTTCTGTTTCTTTTTTTTTGCTTTCTTTCTTTTTCGCTTGTTTTTTTCTTTTCTCTTTTTGTATTTTTTTCTGGTTCTTTTTTTCCTTTCTTTCTTTTGAAAAATTCGCAATTGACGGGGGCATAACGCAAAGATTTCGGCCCAAAAGGGCATCCCGCTCTACGCACACAGGGGCATTTTGGCATATATCAACTTATGGGGGTATTTTGCAACTTATCCCTTTTTCTTTTTTTCTTTTTTTTTCTTTTTTTTTGTTTTTAAGAAATTTGTGATTTACATGTGTCATCCTTGTGCAGGGGCCGTGCCAATGTTCTCCATGGGCATACTCACATCGCGACTTTTCTGGATGTATCTGACTGCAATTCCGGCCCGATGTGCATGCATCCTATCGAAAGTACGTCCACAGTGGAGTTGAAAATATACCCTCTGGGCAATGACGCAGTCTATTGCTGGTTGAAAATTATATTCCACGCCCCCTCAGGGGCCGAAGATGCATCTATTGCATGTTGAAAACCTAGGCTACCAGAGTGGCCCGGGGTCACTTGCCCGGCCGGGCCAAAATAATTAAGAAAAATAAAAATAAATAAAATATTTTTGAATTTTATTTTTTATTTTAAATTTGGTGAAGAATTTCGATGTGACCCTGAGGGAAAAGTTGTTCAGTTTATTTTTCTGCATAACATAGTTGTTTTTCAGAATTTTTGGATTTGTTTTTTTTGTTTTGTTTTTTTTTTGCTGGGACCTTACCTGATCCTTGCACGGGCTGGCCACCCGGGACCCGGGCGGCCCGGCTGGTAGCCTAGTTGAAAACTATATTCCGAACCCCCTCAGGGGCGGAAAGTACACCCGCTGTAGTGCTTATTGCAACGGATGTCCCGGTGTCTGCGAATGTATCTCATAGCCAGAGCACAACGGATAGCCAGAGCACAATGGAATCTCATTATGAATATGGAGGACCTCAAAGGTGGGTTATGTGCATTCAGGGGTGTGGGAAAAGGACTAGAGAGTACTATAATAAGTTTCTGTCTCGTTTTGTGTTGTTGTTTTTAAACCACGACTACCTTTCTCAGTGGTGGGAAAAATGGGAATGTACTATTTATTTATTTATTTATTTTATTTTTTTGAATGTACTATTTAATATTTAGCCTATGCCGAACTTTTTGGCCGTCTGCAGAGGCTCGGCATCCAATGCCTGAAAACAAAAAAACGAATATATTTGGGCCCTCTTGGCCCGATATGAGAACCAAGAAAGAAAAAAAAAAAGGCACTGACTACTGCATGATCAGTGATGCCAGGGGTACTCTCATCGAGGCATGGTTACAGTAGTACTTGCTAGAATGTATCCAACCCTTTGCCCAGCCCCTGGCTGTAGTGAATGTGAAGCCATGGAGGGAGCCCCTGTTCAGATTTGTGCATAATGTTCAGATTGGCGGCACATAAGAGTGAATAAAAGAGATCACATCCCATGCAACAATAGTGCGAGGGCTTAAGCCTCGGCATAGGGCCCTGCAGCAGGCGCATGCCTGCCCTAAGTGAGGGCGCCCCCCCTGAATCTCGATGCCCCCTGAACTCCTCAATTTTTGCAAATCATGGTCGGCGCCAGACAGGAGGGCACATCAAGACTGAAGCTACTGGGAACTTGGTCTCACGTGGGGGAGCAAGGAAAGCGGTTGCCACTTTCCATATAGGAAAGGGCAGGGCGCCGTGATTGGGAGGAGGGGACTTGGAGGTGCAAGAGGGAGCGCCGCTTGAGCGAGGGCCCGCGGCTGCATGCTTAGCACGCTAGCGCAAGTGCAGAGCGAGTGCGGGCATTCGGTGTGAGGGCGCTGCAAGAAGGCAGCGCCGTAGCTGGGCCCTCATTGCCAGGCACCAGCTTGGGTAGTCAGCGGTGATGGTGGTGGTCTTCGTTTATGGGACGTAAGACGTGGGTGAGAGAGAGAGAGAGAGAGAGAGAGAGAGAGGAGGTTGATGATGTGAGGGCACATACCTGGTCTTCACGATGGTCTACAAGGTCGACATTTTTATGCACGTCAGCTGTTGCTGCTGATGTCAACGGAATGCATTGTCAATTCGTAGGCTGCTAGTAGCTGTGTAGTAGTAGTCTTGGCGCTGAGCGCCAAGTAGGAGGATGTGCTCTGGATACATCTGTTGGTGATGGCGTTCGGATTCGGTGCTTTGGTTTTCCGTTGGTGAATATCAGCACATTTCTGCTTTCTGGACAGCGTTGGACTTTCTGGCCTTCAATGTGAATTTGCATTCTGGATTTCTGTCATTTCGCCAACGCTCGTTTTCCGTGCAATGCGAAAACAAATCAACGACTCGGAATCCTTGGGCAAAAGTCTCACCCAAAAATACGATTGAAACAAACCTTCAAAATATAAGTGACCGAGCCTGGTCTACCCTCTTCCCCTGAACATAACGCACATATCCGTTGTAAACGGATACAACACATAGGGCGTGTTCTATTCGAATACAACCCGTATGCGTTCTTTTCGAATAGCCGTAAATTTCGAATACAACGCATATGCGTTCTATTCGAATTTTTTTTTCAAATTTTGGAACTCGAATACGACGCATATGCGTTATGTTCGCGGGAAGAAGGTAGGTCGGATACATAAGCGTTCGTCTGGCCCTTCCTCTTAAACCACCAGTACTTGGCCCAGCTATTGGCCGCGGGAAAAAATAGAGTAGAGACGCTTCTAGTTGGATGAATTTGGGTGCTCCTGTAGTGGCCCGTACGTTTCCTAAAATCGCGTAGCGTTAACGGGCAAGACTTTAGGAAGTACTGGTGGCTTAAGCTGGCTGTCTTGTTACATCCGCTGTGAAGCATCCCCCGATAATGCCAAATGAAGTACTGCTAAGGTCAGATCCAGGTTCTTGGTGGGTGCATACTGTGACTGGGACTCCATATGCATGTGCTCCTCCCAACCTCGCTAGCATCGTCCGTCGCACTTCCACTGCCCCGGGGACGCCGCTGTCGGGTGCACCGCAACCGATTGTAGGGGCTTCCAGGATGCCGCGGAGTAAGAGTACAAAGGCACTCTCTAACCCACTCAAGGGCGAGGGCGAGGGCGAGGTTACGCTGGAGCACTCTCGCCATTGCTCTCCCACAGCGATGGAGCCTGGCAGTGTAAGCGCCACGCGTAAAAGGTCAGCTTCGTTGCCTCCAAGCTGCGCTCAACTAAAGAAGATAACAACAATCTTCTGACGTCGCCCAACTCGGCCATGCTTGATGCAGTCTCAGGATGTACGGTGTTGTCCACCGACCGGGCTGCCAGGATGCTCCGGAGTAAGCGTATAAAGACCGTAAACCCTAAACCCTAAACCACTCAAGGGCTAGGTCACACTAGACCACTCTCGCCATAGCTCTCCCACAGCTATAGAGCCTGGCAGGACAAGCTCTGTCAAGCGCTGCGTGTAAAGGTCAACTTGGTTGCCTCGACGCCGCCCTCGTCTGAAGAAGATAACAACAATCCTCTTGACGTCACCAGACTCTAGCATGCTTTGATGCAGTGTAACCTTCCGAAGCCCGTATCACAACCTAATGCCCACGCGCCTGAGCGCGGGAGAGGGTCTCGGCAACAATGCCAGTGTTGATCGTCTCTACACTCCTATCGAATAAATCCTGGATGGTAATAACGGAGCCCCCCTTCAAGCTCTATGCGCAAAGGGAAGGACAGCTGACCTGGTACGTGAGCTGAACTTTCATGTGGCATGTCGTCAAGATTAGCTAATTTCCTAATTGAGTCTTCTTGTGTAATGCCCAGGTTGAGTTGGTGCCA